AGCCAGCCAGCCAGCCAGGCAGCCAGCCGCGGCGGCGGCGAGGCACGGATGCGCCCTGCTTACGTATACACCGGTCCTTCTCTCCGTCTCGTTTCCACCAGCCGGCCCCTCCTTTTCCCACGAGTGGAGGCCCGGCAATATAAGCCGAGTAATATTACCGCGGGAAGAGCGGTAAGGTAACAGAGAGCCGCTGCTACGGACCGTTCCTTTCGAGAATTTACGAGCACACCACGGTCCGGGTGCCCGGAGAGTCCGACCCTCCTTCTCTCCCCCTCTGTCGCCCTCTCTCCCCCCTTTCCCCTCGTTCATCGCTCTGCTCCTTCGTGCACTCCCGCTCTCTGTGTATGTACAGCTCTTTCTTTCTCTCTCTCTCTCGCTCGTTCTGTGTAGCGCGAGAGCAGCAGGGTCGTTCTGGTCGTCTCGCGCCCCGCTATACCGTACAGATGCGAAACGGCACCGCGCGACGGACCGTCAGCGTTTCCGTGTGCTATGCCTGGAACTCGCCGGCCGCTATGCGAACTCGAATCTACGCGCTCCCATCCGTGCGGTACACGCGTCCATGCGATTACCAGACGATGGACATCCTTATTAGCGGCGAAAGGTTATCGATGGTAAAAGCGAGTCGCGACGCGCGAGCCTCGTCGAGCGTCCTAGATACGCACACGCCTATGTGTGTGTGTGTATTACTCTTACAAGTTCGTACTTGAGGTTAGGTTTGGGGGTTTTCAACAGTCGTGACTCTGACAAAGTAGGTGATGTTCGAGGTTGTGTAGCTGTTGAAAAAACTTTCATTGACATTGAGCCTTGGTTAACAATGGGTTCAAAAGTCTCATTTACAATTTTACATATTCGTTGGTACTTCTTTTAATTCTTGTGAGAGATATGTATAATTGCGCGTTGTTATACTTAGAATCGACAATTACCTGTAGTCCTCTTGTAAAAAGATCTTTATTTTACAATTGGTTATTCGATAGGTTATGGTGGAAACATATATATATATCAAGTGTCGGTACATTTAGAGTTAACCTCTTAGCTATAACGGCTCGTTTGTTTCTCACAATCAGTCAATTCTCATAATTCAAACAAATTGTATTTTAAACAGAGAGATATGAAAACATTTCACGTGACAACTATATTTTGTCTGTAAACAAATGTTACACATCTGATAATGATCCTGATTACGCACATTGTACGTAAAATGTGTACAAGTTATTCGAACCAAAATCCGAAGCAATATAAATTACGAAGCGGCCCGATTTGAGAAAACTTTGCGACGAACTGTTGCAGCGTATGTCGGTCCACTTCACAAACGCGTTCGCACTCTGCGGCGAGAGCGTGTCAGTTTTCGAACGACTATCGTGAAGGAACTTCTCGATTCTTCGAAGGGTATTTTCCTCGGAAAATTTCCGAAATATTTGCGCAGCCTGTTCTTCCCTTTCCACCATTTGCCATCATTACTCTACGAATACACCATCGTTCCTTTACGATACAAATACATACAGCAACTGTCTTCTAACATCCTAAGATTCGCGATTGAGAGTATACGTACATGAATACAGGCATTCGCACGTGTCTATGTACCTACGTAATTGGAGTGTTTACGCGTCAAAGCGCTCGGAATTGGCCGATATGCGAATATTATCGAATCGTTTACGCGGGAGGGGGGAGGGGGGGCTAACGCAGCGCCCGCCCGCCCCTCCTCACGCGCAGGTGTACACACGCACGTGCATCACACACCGTGAATACAACCGCACTTTGCATCGTTCGCGTTTCTGCGTCGGTGGGTCAGCGGCGGCCGCGTTTCCGTCGCGAAACACTCGCGGTTTTCCGGTCGCGCGTGCATCAACGTGCGATACGTTCGCGCACACCTGCGTGCGCGGATAAAGAGAGGGCGAAGAAGAGAGTGGTTGCCTCGTCGCCGTCGACAAACTGATACGTATGTACGCACGTCGGGTATCGGCGGCACTCGATAACGACCGATGATATCAGTTTGCGCCAACCGACGTTGGCCGGAGATGGCGGAATTGGAATATAATTTTCTATAGGGTGGGTCACCGAAAGACTGAACGACGCGAAATAGAAGTAACTTTTTTTTTTTCGCTGGAATAGAAACGAAACTCGACGAGCTTTTACTCGTTGCTGGAAATCATACGTTGTTTTCGTCATTTTGTCTGTATTTTAATCGTTCATCTCTCTCTCTCTCACTCACTCTCTCTTTCGGGATTCACCATCTTTTACCGTGGTTTCCTATTTTTTTATAATATAATATATAATATTTTATAATTTTTTTATAATATAATATAATATATTTTTTTCTATAATATAATATATCATGTATTATCATAAGTTGTATAATATGTTAATTCATATAATATAAATTATAATTATTTATGATACATATATTATATATATTTATGATATATAAATTTAATTCGTTAGTCTTTCAGAGGAAACTATTGAAGATGGTACAAGAAAAACTGAAAATACCAAAGAAAACAGGAAAAATTACAGAATCAATGCCCATTATTGTCCATCGGGACTTGCTGGACAACGTTGTTCCCACGTTTTTCTCACTTTCTGAAAATTGTCTACTTTCATGGAGAAAACATTGTAACACAAGTTTTTCTATTTGTATACTTTGCGAAAAATTATCAACCACCAAAATGATGGATTTATAATTTTCCATCGAAATTTTATATATATTTACAAAACAGTGTATTTCCAGAGATGTTAAAGAAAACTTTGCGATGCAACGAAGCTCGCGAGCTTTTATTTCTGTATTTTACAAAAAAAAAAAAAGAAAAAAAAAAAGAAAAAGAACCAATTTAACACCAGACCTACCAAAATGAAAAATTTATAATTTCCCATTGAAATTTTGTGAAACAGCGTGTTTCCATATTTGTGAAACGGTAATTTTCAGTATTTTCTCAGAGACTCGAACGATCCTCAGTGAAATGTGCAAACTTACAAAGCTCGTACATTTTATCGTGTCATAAATCTCTTGCACCTTTTAACTTCTCTCCGCGTGGAAAATTTTACATTCACTAATCGTTGGTTCCATCTCTAGAAATACACGAAAGGAAGCTTGACTTTCGCTAACACGACAAGCAGGACAAGCAGGACAAGCACGACAAGCAAAAATGTCCAACGAATGTTACAAATTTTTTTTCGACCCGAAAATTTTGGTAGTCGCGTAGAAATAGCGGTGTTAAATCGATTTCAGCCGATGCACGACGCTACACGGCGCGGATGACCGGACGCACGCCGTTCGCCCCTCCGGCAATTTTTCACGGCACCGTGAGATCCGGGGGGACGCGTGATTTCCAGCCGAGGGCCGCCTCGCGGAGCTCGGCCGCTTCGCGGAGACTTCTTCTTCGGCAGGGCCGCGCCCCCCCCCCCTTTTTTTTCTCTCGAATTCCCCCGGAGTGTGTCTCCGTGGAAAAACGTAACGGGGCGACGAAATGGAGGATGGAGGGGGGCGAGAAAGGGGGACAGAAGAGACGGAGACGAGAAAGCCACGCGAGACAAGAAAAAAAAAAGAAAGAGAGAGAGAGAGAGAGAGAGAGAGAGGACGTCGAGGGTACGATGAATTCGATTTTAAACCAGTTTTTGCCGTGAGATCGATTGCTAGGCACCGAGACACCACGATCGACACGTTGAAATTAACGTTTCGTTGCCGCGACTCACCCTCCCCCTCCCTCATCGATAATCCACGAGACGTTGTTTTTAAAACAACGTCAAGGTGGTAGTTTTAGAGTCCGGTTCGTTTCCACGATGCAACCGGCTCTTCTCTCTCTTTTTTCTTTTTTCTTTTCTTTTTTTTTTTTTTTTTTTTTTTCAAGTTTTCCACTCGCCTGACGCACGCATGCGGTCGCGTGGTAGAAGAAAGAGGAGACGTTGCCCAGACGTTCCTTCCTCGAACGGAAGAGAGAGAAAGGTTGACACACCATCGGCGGGGGTTACGTGCCTACCAGGGGGGGCGAAAATAAAAAATTATAAATAACAAAAATTGGTTAATTACTGGGAGGAAACAATGTGCTGCGACAAAAAAAAAAAAAAAGAAAAAAAAATGTACTTAGTACACAAAAGGTATGCTCTTGCGCTAGAATGACGTGCCACGCACATCGAGAATTGTTTGTCTCAAATTGCAACATTTTCTCAATTTCAAGTATACATTTCAACGTAACCCAGAGAAACCGAATGATAACTTTATTATTTCTTGATCATTTCTATCCAGCGATATCATATCGACGAGTTCAAAAGTAAAGGAAAGCGACGAATTATCGTGTACGGTTTGGTCACTCGTTATGGTCCGCAATCAGTTGCCAGGGCAAGGTATGGCCGTCTGTGAATTTTTCTCCCCCCTCGAAGGTTTCGTTATCGTCGTTTCCGATGCCGAAGAAGAGATTCTATTTTCTCTGTCCTCCTTTCTTTCTCTCATTCTCGAAGATTAGTTAATCCACAGCGGGGTTATTAACGGCGGGCAATTTCACTGTCACGGTCGTCAGTATATCTTGAAATATTTGTAGTCAATAAAAAAAGAAGAGAGAAGTAAAGTAGAGCCAGGAAAATGTTCGGATGTCAGTGTCCTCTTAAAACAAGAATTTCGATTAGACATTTTCCTACTGTTCCGTTCAACCGCGACCATTAAAAATTTATACGAAAGCATTATGCGAATTTATGTAAATTTCTGTTAATTTCACTTCTCGAAGCAAGAGAATAAAATCAATTTGTAGGTTCGAGAATTTTGAGATTCGAAGCTTAACGACGTCGTTAGTTTGCAAGGATGTCATTAAATGATTATACTTGACAATTTTGCACAACAAAGCAGAACTTTCCATTTCGGAAAGCCAGCCTATTGATTTCAAAAATTTTGTAATGACTGCAATACTGCAACCAGTACCTTGTTCGAATAACAGTTCTGTAAAAGCTACTTTTAATTATAATCTCTAGTCGTGAAGTGAAAATTCTCGTATATTAAACTTAATTTTATTTTGTAGGTTTCTTGTTCGGAGCAATTAGTCAGATATAGTTCTACTCAAATATAAGTTCTACATTACTCTGGTCAAGAAGGTGCGCGAATAGGGAAGGGAACATATTATATAAATGTACTGACAGAGGCATCCACATTCCATTTTTCGCAAGCAGAGCAAGTAAAGCAAGTATTACGAGTAATCTAAGAGCATCAATGTCTTTTAGTCTTTGGTGGCAACTTTTACTGAGGATACAAGGATTCACGGCCGAGTATCTGGTAAGAACAATCGCAAAAATTATAAAATTCGAATATTATTAAATTAATATTTATATAATAATATCGCGAATATTATAACATTAATATTTATATTAATTTTAGTTGATCATCTGTAAAGAAAAAATGGTCAGCAAGAAAAGAATGACAAAATGTCAAACAAGAACAGCTGGAGAAAACAAAAATTCGAAGAAAATGGATTTTCGGGAGCTGATTAAAAAAGAAAAGGAACGATGCAATACAATGAACATCGAATATAGTTGGCCAGAAACGTTGTATGCAAACGAATTCCAAGGTGCGAGTTATTTCATACTGACGAACTTCGTGAGATTGCGCGGAAAGCACTCGGATGATGTCCCGAAAAAATGGTCGACGACTTTCTCATGTTCGCCTTTGAGAAACTAATCAAAGAGACAGCGATGACTGTAGAACTGTTCATGGATTTGCAAGAATGGTTTAATAATCAGTTAGCGTATTCCAATGCCCAACAAATGTTTAAAGCAATAGTAGAAATCCGTAAAAAATTTAATGAAACTGCCGAAAAATCGAAAGACATTAAACTGACTGCCGATGAAACTGCTAATTTGATCGGTCTGAAATTTAACTATGTATCAAGATCGTCGGAAAACGAAAGATATAAAGAATACGAGGAAAAAGTGGATAAATACTATAAAGATCAGAGGCCAAGAATGTCTCCTAAAGAGTTGAAACGTTCCATTGTTGACGCGCTGCAAAGCGCAAACTCTCAAACTCAGTTGGTCGATTTCCTCGGTTTCGATGCAATAGGTTTCATAGAGTACATCATCAAAAATCAAGAATTCATTATAGCGAATTTCGATAGACTTGATGAAGAAGATGAAGTGTTGTTTGAAGACTGTTTGGCGAGTGATTGGAATGAGAGTGAGTGTGAGAGCACGAGAAATTAAATGTGTAACTATATTTTTTCTAATATTATATCATAATCTCACAATTTTAACTGTAGTACATAAGTTATTTATGAATAAAAATTTTTTAAAATTGTAATCGTAGTTTTTTAATTATATTCTTCCAATGTAACAACGTTTCAGATGGGAATTTCGAACTTAATTTTAATAAAAATCCACCCGTTTTGAAATATTTTCGAACAACATTATTTGTTTTTAAATTACTTTCTAAAGTTATGTCAATAATAATCTATTTGGAAAATAACGAAATTATATTATCATGTATAAAAATCTTCGTATAAAAATTGAATTAATTCTTTCCCAATTAAATAATTTATTTGTTACTTCTCGAAATAAATTATTTAATATTTGTCTCAGGATCTTTATTCGTTGTTTGACTTTGATAGAAATAACTGATTTTTTTAATGACGATAAACGAAATTTAGGTGTGCTGCATGGCCGTACATTAATAAAACATGTATTTTGTAAAATATATTACTTTCCTCCTGATCTTTGTCGTCAGTCGAGACACTGTTCTCATTTGCAACTTTCATAGATATTCCGAAATTTTGTTCGTTAATAGATCAAATGTTTGAGGATCGAGTACTGTTAAAAGCCGCGACAAAATTCCTGCCGCGACAACACTAAAATAAATTATTTCGATTTTCATTGATTATTTGTTTCCTTTTTATTTTTCATTTGAGCACTTTGATGTTTCATTGGTACTTATCTTGAATGTTATTTTCAATTCTCAAATAAATATTTTAATTTTCTCAAATAATCAGTTCTTCAACTTATTACTATCCCAATTATCATTTGCCTGGCTTCAAATCCCTTTAATCGACCAAATGATCTAATAACGTACTACGTGCCACGCAAGTCGCGAATTTTTTGTTCCAAAATTAGTAATATTTCCTCAGTTTAAGTGAAACAAAATAAATTTATTACTTCTCAATAATTTCTATCCGGCGATATCATAACGACGAGTTCGATAGAAAAAGAAAGCGGCGAATTATTGTGTACGACATGGTCACTCGTTATGGTCCGCGCAACCACCAGCGCAACGGGTTAATACGATTAATCTTTCTGTGGAGGAAAGGTAATTAATACCTTTCCCGCCGATTGTGTGTCGAGTAGAAAAAAAAAGAAACAAAAAAAAAAAAAAAAGTAGAAGAAATAGAGAAAAGAGACGAAGATATCTAACAACGCGGCAGCTGGAGTGAGGGGACGAGTGTATGACAACGACACGACCGCGATGACGACGCAACGACAAACGATGAGAAGGACGCAACGGTCCTCCGGATGGTCGGAAGGCAGTGTGTCGGTGGCGGTGACGGCGAAATGCGACGCGACGCGATGCGATACGACGCGACGACGCAGCCCGGACTTCGCGGACCCTCACATCCTGTCTATGACAGGATGGCTGATGGCTGGGCTGGTTGGTTGGTTGGTTGGTTGGTTGGTTGGTCGGTTGGTCGGTTGGCTGGCCGGTCTGTCGGTCGGTCGGGTTGGCAGCAGGGCCCTACCCACGGGTACATGTGCGCCTGTCGCCTGTTCGTGCCGCTGCGTGTACGCGCGTCGTCCTCCTCGCCCTCTCCCCGCTCCCCTCTTTCCGCCGCCTTTCTACGCTTATTCCCGCGCGCGTAGTCTCACGAGGGCCCCGTTGCCCCGTTCCTGTTACTCTTTCTCTCGCGGCGCCGAGAGAGAGCCACCGCGGCATAGCCACGTTTTTTCTTCCCAGAGCCACCGCGTCGCGGTATCGAATCGTCTCGCCACGAGGTACGTACGTACGTACGTACGTACAGACAGACAGACAGACAGAGGGGAAAAAAACAAGAAAAAAGGAACGAAACGTCTAGAAGCGGGACGAAGACCGCGAGATTCACCCGGAGGGAGAATCGAGTTAAAGAGAGCAAGAGAGAAAGGCGAAGGTGGGAGATAGAAAGAGAAAGAGAGAAAGAGAGAGAGAGAGAGTGAGAAGAAAAAAAAGAGAGAAGGGCAGAATAGGGTGGGGCGGCGCTTTCCAATCGCGGAGCGAGGCCCCTCGCGTTCCGACGACGATCGAAAAAGGTGAGACGTGCCGAAGGGGATATAGGCGCGGACAATGAAGCGGACGAGAGCAACGCAGAGGCAACCGTGCTATCGAGGCCCGACAGAGAGGGCAGACGAGCTAGCGTTAGAGAGAAAGAAAAAGAAACACAAAGAGAGAGAGAGAGAGAGAGAGAGAGAAGGACGGATAGAGCGTGACCGGGCAGAGTGTCGGAGGCAGGCAGAAGGAAACGCCGCGGCGCGTCGTGCCGGGGCGAGGGAGAAAGAGGGAACGAGGCAAGAACGTGACGAGACGACGAAAGGGAACCGAGGGGATCGCGGACGCTGTTCGTACAGCGACGAAGACGACGACGACGACGACGACGACGACGATTTGGCAACGGCTTTTATGGCTTTCGTTCGCGATCGCCGGCTGGAAACTCGGTACCGTCGCGATGCACGCCGGATAGAGCTTCCTCGTACGTCGACGTTACGCGAACGTCTGGCGTACGCGTGTGTGTATGTGTGTATTTCGGAAACGAGGCCGCGGCGCCCGCGTAGGTACATCCTGAAAGGCGAAGAAAACGATCGCCAAGAGAGTTGCAGAGAGGGGGGAGGGCTCTCGAGCGGCCTTTTGGCCGCGAGACACGTCCGAGACTCGCTTTGGCCGCTAATGTCGGCATTAGGGTCAATAGTACCGGCCATCGAGCGAAACGAATATCCCTCGCTCGCGAACACGGCGGCGTCGAATCGTTTATCGCGACCGTCCCACCGGCTAAGAATAACGGCTCGATTACGTAAATCGCGCGCGAACGTTCCCCCCGTAGCGAGCGTAACCCCTTTCTTCCTCTTGTTTTTCTTTTGTTCCGACCCGGCGCGCGATCCATCCCCGATCGAGAGAGAGAGAGCTCGATCCCGCCGGTCGATCCGATCATTGGTCAAAATGAGAACGCGAAAAAGGAAATTGTAAAATTCGCACTTCCATTGTAGAAATTATTTAACAGTAATTAAGCCGTTTGTTTTGTGAATAATTAAATTTTCACAAAAGTTCCAAGTGTTCTTAGAAACTCAGAAGTAAGAATAATAATTATTATTATTATTTATTTTTAGTATATAATAGTAAATTACTTGTATACCAATTACTTATGTATTGTATTAGGTGTGTATTAGATGTAATTATTTATATTAGTATGTTATAGTTTGTTATAATATTTGGTATATTATAAGTAATTATTATTATTCGAATTCGTTATTACGTAGAACTGCAGTTCTATATGATGGAAGGAGAAGCATAAACACACGCCGAGGACTGCGGTTCCTAGAAGAGACAAGGTCACAGTCTTTGCGAAAAACATCGGACAATTTGAATATACATAGGCGAGAGCTCTCGAACGAACGGCGATTTTTTTGAATATATACACGGTAATGCCCACTTAAGGGTCCGCAGCGGGGACCAAGAGAGCGGATGCTAAAGTAGGGAGATGATTTTTGCGAATCGTGCCGAAATATCGGTACATATCGCGTGTCACTCGCTTTGCATCGCTGTGAGTGTCACGTTTCACGCGGCCTTCGGCAGATCGCACGATAAGGTAGCATAAAGCAAGGCTTCTCAAAGTGTAGACGACCTCCACACGGGGGTTGGAGAAATTTTAAGAAAGCTAAGAAATCAGTGTGAACATTTGGCTTTGTCTCTGACACGTGATAAACTAATTATGTATCCGTATGTACACCAAAGAATATTTTAACTCGTATTCCTAGTTTACATATTGTGGCCAGGGGTCGCGAAAATATTTGCTCGGGTAATAGGGATCGCCAAGCATGGAGTGAGATGGTTTCAATTTTAAGAAATGGTGGGGTTAGCTATGGGACGCTTAATCTCTTGCGCTTGAATAACGTGCCACGCACGTCGAGAATTTTTATACCAATATTTTCTGAATAGTTTCAAGTATATTGAAATATAACCCAAGGCAAAACAAATAATAAATTTATTACTTCTCGATAATTCCTATCCAGTGATATCGTACCGACGAGTTTAAAAAGACAGCGACGAATTATTGTACACGGTTTTCGGTCACTCGTTATGGTCCGCAATCAGTTGGTTAACCTCTTGCGCTCGAATGACGTGCCACGCACGTCGAGAATTTTTTGCTCCGAAACTGCAATACTTAAATATAACCCAGTTTACTTAAGTGTATTTAAATATAACCCAGCAAAATAAATAATAAATTTACTTCTCAGTAATTTCTATCCAGCGATATTGTTCCAGTCCCGAGTTTAAAAAGAAAGCGACGAATTATTGTATACGGTTTGGTCACTCGTTATGGTCTGTGAATCGCGTTGCCAGCGAAAGAGGTTAACCTTCTAAGGGCGGGGTATTTAAATCCCCCTTCGCTAGTGGACGGAATGAAAATAGCCAGGCGAAGTTTAATTTTACAAGTTTTCAGATAAGTTATTGTAGTTCCTATATTTTCAAAGTTAATCAAATCAAATCAAAGCTACTCGAAACAAGAATAGAGAGACCGTATAGATATATCGGACACTCGACATTCTCAGATATTACACAGGTGTCGATATATCGGACGTTAGTACTTTGAAGGTTAAGCGAGTTGTCGCCACTGTATGTTATTCGATTTGATAGTTACTCTTTGCGGCTTCTTTCTCGAGCGGGCCAAAAAATGACGAAAAATGCAGCGTGCGCTTTTTAAAATCCGGTGTGGAGAGCGCATCCGGTTGTCTCGACCAGAGGCACGATCGGTCGCCGCTGAGGAGATCCAAACTCTCGCGGCGCGAGGACAAGAACGAGGGCGAGAGCGAGAGCGAGAGCGCCTCGTCTAGGGCTCGTGTATTCGCAGATGTACAGCTACCTGCGGGAAACTGTAACTACCGTCAGACTGGAAGTATTAGGCGTGGTAGGGAGGGAGAGGTGGAGGGGTGGAGTGGGAGAGAGAACGTGCGAGCTGACGAAAGAGAAAGAGAGAGAGAGAGAGAGAAAGTGAGTGAGTGAGAGAGTAGACCGGCGGCAGGGAGGAGGGAGAGAGAATAAACTGGGTCAGT